GTAAGAGGAGCTTTAAACCACAGTGACACATTAAAGGAGTCCACAGCCTTTGTGAAATGGGACTTGACACTCCTCAAATCTATGAGAAACAGGTTGTAAATTTTTAAACCCTAGTGAAAGAGGGAAGAATTTCACAAAGAACACACAAGAAATACATTTAGAACTAACTTAGCAACAAATGACCTATTTTGAAAATAGGGGGCTGGTTTGAATTTCGTTTGTTTGCCGTTTTGGGGAGGCAATGCAAGTGATGGGTTATAGTTCGCCTCCTGGGGCTCTGGGCAGCAGAGAGGAGCAAGGTGGGAACTACAGGCGGAAGAGCCTCTGGGGGAGCCCTAAGCATGTGGGCAGCACTGATATAGCTGGTAAGTGCCTTCCTGCCTCCTCCATTGCCCAATGTTTGTCCTTCTCACACTCTTAGGTTACTCGCAGTGTTTTCATATGTGTGCTTTTCCGTGTCTTTTTCTCTGTGCCACTATTTCTACCTCTCTACTTCTCGCCTGTGTTTCTTACCACCTCTCTCAATCCCCGTGTTGTCTCTCTCTCAAAAGAGAGCTTAATAATATACTTTTATTTATTTGTTTTAGTTCTTGAACAGCTTTTATGTTTTCTGCCTCATACAAAAGTAGGCAGGTGGGTGGGCTGTTTTCTTTTCATTTAGAAAACAAATACATATGGCTTTTTATTTATACCACCCATGATTGATTTCTATCCCTGCCTCCCTCAAAACTCAGCAATCAGGTCCAGCAATAGAAGTCCACCCTAGGGCTCCTAGCTTAGAGCAAGAGAGGATCTGTGGTGTTGCCTGACATGTAGCAAGCGAAGAAAGCAGGACAGGAGAGCATGCAGGGGTGTGGGTGCCATCTGGGCGTATGGAAATGGAGATCCCCGTTAGCAGCCGCCCCCTCCCATGGACCAGGCCTCTCCACTATGAGCTCTGCCACTCTCCAGCCTGTGCTGTGACCCTCCCGAGGGAGCTATCCCCGAGAACCTGAGTTCATCTGGTGTTTGGCAGCCTCCCCTCCGACCTGTGCTTGGGCAGACCCCTCTGTTTGGCATGCCTCGGCCACCCCCGGCTGTGTTCACCTGGTCAACACCTACCCATCGCCGAAGTCCTCCCTGATCCATGGAACTGCCTAGAATGGCCTCCTCCTTCATGCCCCACTGTGATCAGAGGCGGGGTCTCAGTCATCCTGGTTTCCCTAGTGCCCAGCACAGTGCCTGGCACATGATAGGTATTCAATCAACATATGTTGGAAAAATAGAGTATAAAATATTTGCCTTCCACTTTACCAGAAGGACAACAAAGTGGGCAAACTTGGTCCTGGCTTTCAGGTTCCCACCCAGCCCCCCTACTTTTCCATTTCTAGACTTGCTCCCTGCAGTGCTCTGCCCTTACATATCCACACCCCAGGGGCTTTCCAGGGGCTCCCTCTGCCACAAAGCCTTCTGCGACTCCCCAGCCCTAGCTGGAAGAAGCCTGTCCTTCATCTGAGTTCCCAATTATCTGATCTATTGTTACCTTACTTGGTGGCCTCTCTGGTGGCTGTTTCAGCACCCCCACACTAGGCACACACATGACTGTCACCCCCACAACCCACAGTGAGCCAGCCCCCGAAGGGTGGAATGTCCACAATGACCATAGATGAATCGAGCAAGCAAAGGCATCTGTGCCATCCCATGGGAGGAGAAAATGCCAGAAACAACAGTCCTGCAGTCAGGCAGAGAGTCAGAGCCCAGCCTCCCAGTGTGGCAAGGCAGTGCTGGGTGCGGGCGATTGCTCTTCCCAGCAACATGGTATCAAAATGTTACACTACCTTGTTGGCCAGTGCGTCTCCCGGTCCATCTTCGCTTTCCCAACACTTAGCTCTGACTGCTTGCAAATAGTATCTGAGAGGCAATCTAAAAGAGTCAAGCTGCATTATGGAGAGCCCCAGGAAGACTGCAGGGCACAGCTCATCTTGCAGAGAATGGCTCAAATGGCAAACGTTTGTTCCTTCACCTACTTGGGTGGGCCTCACCAAGGAAATAAGATCAAGAAAGTGGTGTTCGTCTTTAGCATTTATTTATAATTGGAAAAACCGTTGGTTGGTTTGTTTTTCTGAGCAAGCACAGACCACAAGCACGTCACAATCAATTGGCTATACATGAATATTTTTGTCATTCTCTTACAGCAGGAATGAAATAGCACCAAGAGAGGTGTGCGCTACACGTTACATAGACAATCTGTGGTATGCAACAAAACCCAGGCCACAAAATCATAATTAGACACTTCCTGTCTGCCTCAGAGAGGCAAAGCGATGTGGCCCGAATGGGAGCACAGACAGAGGACGGATTGCTGAGGGAAGCCAATACGCAGCTGTCGGGGCTGCTTTTGCAGGCAGGGAAACAGCAGGAAAGCTTCCGTCCCAGCTCCCTGGCCAGGGAAGGACGGGGAACCACAGAGTAATGTACAGAGATCAGTGGGACAAGCATTGGAAGCTTGGTCACCTTCAGGAAGGCAACACCCAAACACTGCTTGTGGAACCAAAATCAGTTTCATTCAGTATGTTTGGGATATAGAATGAGACTGGCTGAGTCTTACTTGTAAACAGTAGAAATTAAAGGAAGTTTCTTGCCAGTGAAGTGACACATTCAAGAGTCGAAGTGAACTACAAACAGGCTTTTCTCAGTGGGTGTATTAAACAGAAGGGGCTACTGACAGGGTGGAAAAGACACTCTGCAGGTCCTCTAAAGCCTCGGGTGGGCAGGGTAGGAAGTTGGTCCCTGGGGCAGTGACGGGCGTGGAAAGCAATGATGGCAAACTGCGATTTGGGCAACACCAGCTTGACTTGGTCACAGGGATCAAGTCATGTCACTCTCTGGTTGTGTGGCTATGGAGAAACAGATTTATTTATACTGCCCACCACACCTAGCACAGGGCCTGGCACACAGGCTTCTAGTAAGTGAACACTAAACGCGTGATCCCCTGTGCACTGTAAACTCTGATTTACTTGATCTGCAGAAATAAATGATTATTCTATGGAGAAATCCAAACTGTGGCTAGCATCAACATGTCTGACTAAGGCCAAATCTTGAGAGACTGAACGTGCATTGGCAAATCCTCTGGATACAATTAAGATCATGTTGATAGAACTTTCTGGTAAATGTTAAGATTAGCTGGCAAAGAGTTGGAATCAGTACCGAGATCTACTCCAGTCATTTCCCGATAGCATTCAAAACCCTGAGACTCACCAGCATTTTCCACCTTCTTTCACCTCCTTCCTCACAGATTCAAACCCTGAGACAGAAAGGAAGGTCGCAGTGGGCCCCACCAACGACTTCGTTTCTGGTATTCCGGTTCTGTGTTAATAATTATGGCTCACGTCACACATGCCAAATTAATTTGCAAAAGGCTTCTTGTTCAGCCCCAAGGCGACAACCAAAATGACAGTGAAGCAGGGACTTTGCTGCCTGAATGGTCAGAATAAGAGAGAGTTTGCTTATAAGGAAGAGGCTCCACTTCCTCCAAACCGGAAGGACTTAAAGGGATTTTTGAGGTGAGGAACTGTGAGACTCTCACTCTTCACCCCTTTCATTACAAAAGAAGAGCAAGCCTGAGCCGGGGCCTGACACCGGATGGCAGCCCCGCGTGTCAGAATGCTGGGGACGAGAAGGATTTTAAGGACAGGAGATATAAAGTGTGCTGAGCAATATACACGTCACATTGGCAAAGATTTTTTTCTGGTAACTATTTTGCATTCCCTCACAAGCACTGGGGTTTTTTTCCACAACAACTCCCTGACTAATTCCTACAACACAACTCTAGCACAGCTAAGGTGGCACTTGCCACCCTCAGGGCTTTGGCCACACACACACACACACACACACACGTGACACGGAATATACTGAGAGCTGCTTTTCTATATGAATGAGGTCAAAGCTGCTTGCTAATCAGTTAGCAGGGCAGTCTTCTAGTCTGCAGCTAAGTCACAGACATTCTCCCTGTCCTGAGGCCTGGCACTGCTGCCCTCTCTGAGGAGCAGACCAGGGCGGTTCAGGAAGGGAGGGTAAACATCGCCACACTTGCCACTACGTCTACGCGCCCTTGGATCTCTCAGCAACGGAAAGTCACATTCCAAATGCACTATCCCTACACCTTGAACTTTCTTCCTCAGATACCTCCAACTAGTCGCTCTGCGAAACCAGCACTGAACGGGTGGTCGGCCGAGGGGAATCAGAGGAAAACAGCCTCCTCATTTTTGTGACCTTCCTATGACAGCTAGAATGCACCTAAAACACCTAACCTTTTATTACCAGCCCTGGCCTGGCTTTGGCTCAGTGCCATATCCATGACTTGGCATACAATTGAAGCCCACTGATAGGAAACCAAGCACAGGCGCACACGTCTCGTGGACGATTCTGTGAAAAGACTACTTCACAGACACAACTCCCTTTTAGCGGCATTAAGGCCAAGGTTGTTTCTTTCTTGTTGTTGTTTTTATTTAACTCAAATTTTGTCAGTTGCTGAAGCCCAGGCTGAGCTTCTGTAGCACTTGACGATTCTCTGAATTTTGGAAAAGAACACGAGTATCTAAAGTTCAAAATCGACCAGTGACACAGATCTGGGGGACCTGGGAGGAGGACACCCTACAGACACTTCCAAGCACTGCCAGGAGATTCCTTTCACCTCTCCGACCTGCCCGCCTTACTGTTCAGCATGCAGTCGGAGTCACAGGGGAGGGCACAGCCAGTGGCAATGCTTCCTGGTGCTCCAGGGGCCTTGGCTGGCTGGACTCCCGGGCTACCCTCAGGAGGAGGCCTGCCACTCAGCCTTTGAAGCAGGATTCTTCCATCAAAAGAAGCCAAACCAAACAGCTCCGGGAACACTCAAGACCAAGGCAGATGAGAAGCCTCTAATTAATTTTGTGGCCTTTTTTTGTTGGTTGGTTGGTTTAAAAAAAAAAAAAGGTGGGAGGGAGAGAGAGAGGAGAGTAAAAGGAAAGTGCAGGGAAATTTACTCTTTTGCCTCAGCCAGTTTATTGTTCATCTCTTTGCTTTGCTCCTTGTCGGCGGGCTTGGCGGCACCAGGGCCCTCCACGCTCTTCTTCTTGGCGGCCTGGCCGGGCGCTGCCTGCTTGTCTTTGGCCTTCCTCGTGGGCTTATGGCTCGCTGAGGTCTTTTTTGGTTTGGAACTCTGAACACTAGGTTTCTCCACCTGCACCGAGAGACAGACAGACCGAAAACACAGAAACACGAAAAGGGGGGGAGTGGGAGAGAATTTAGAGAGAAGGTGTGATTAATGAAGGAATAACGGTGATGACAAAGGTTGGCCCAGGTGGAGGACGGTATATAAGGGGTTTCCAGGGACATCAGGGCATTCGGCTTCTCCCATCTGAACTCCCTGTTCCACCGCTTTGGCAGCACTCACTGGCCACGTGGGCTCCCTTGTCCTGCCAGCCTTCCCCCGACTACCCCAGGCGGTGGGCCATACCACTGTTGGGGAATATTTCAGCCCCTCCCTGTAGGATGTTACATCTCATCATGTTGGGACACAGGCATAGAATTTTGCTTTAGTCAATGAAATGTGAGCAGTGACTTGGGTCACCTTCAGGCAGAAGACGCGAGAGTCAGCCTGTGCTGCCCAGCGCTCTCTTTTCCTCTGCCACAGAGAGAGGCTGCTCTGCCATCCCAGATGAGGAGGCAACAAGAGGTAGAGCGGCAGCCGACCCACCATGGACATTAATAAGAAATAAACCTTTGTAAGATGCAGAAGTTCTGGTGGTGGGTCACTGCAGCACCCGCTGGCTTCCCTGTTTCTGTCTCTAGGTTGGCTCACTCATATGGAGAAGTGTCCTCACTGAGATGCTTCTGGCCCGGGCATCTCTAGTCTCAGCTATGCCTCCCACTGCCAGCCCTCTGCTCCTCCTCTCTGCCTGGCTCCCCAACCATGTCCCCCAGAGCAGCTGTTCCAAGCTCACTCCACTCTCCCCAGCCTCCCTTCTCTAGCTCCGTTCCCCTCATCCAGAGAAGATGGCCTCAGCAGCTCTTTCTCAGGAAACTCTGGAGTCACTGAAAGGGACCCCTCAATAGGCCACCCCCCTCACCCATCTCTAGATTTCCCTCATTTTCCCTCCTTCGTCCCTATGTCCTCTTTTGTCCAATGCCGACCCCATGCCCCGCGTCCCACCCCATCTCTGGATGGACAGAGCTGATGCTGGGCCTTGCAGGCTGGATCATTCGCTCACTGAGGCGCAGTGGTTTTCAGTCACTCCTGACCTGTGAGGAAGGGAACCAATCGTCCTGGTTTGCCTGGAACTGAGAGGTTTCCTGGAACACAGAACTTTCAGTGCTAAAATGGAAGAATCCCAGGCAAACTGGGTCGGTTAGTTACCTTACCCATAAACTGGTCCTGGGCCAAATAGGCAACTCCACTTGAGTGTAAGACTTTAGGACAAAAGCAGAGAAAAGGCTAATTAGGTTCCAGAGCTATTTACGTTCTCAGGCATTTTCTGCTATTATACAGAGGACAGCGGATATTTGTACAATTCCATGGGGCCTGGCATCAGTAATATGCTAGGTTGCATGGCTTGTAGGATTCCTGCTTCACCAGCTATATCTCCAGCACGTTTCTCCCGCTCAGGAACTCCTATGTAAGGTGGAGGAATGTTACCTTAGGAAAATCCCTGAGTCCACTTTCATAACCTGTTCATTTTGGTAACTACTGCAGGGAACACATCTTACAGCTGATGTGGCAGGTGCGTTGTGACAGACTGAGAAGGCATGGTGGATGGTGTTTAGCCTGAGAAGATGAGAGAGGGCAGGTGCTTTTCAGGGACTAGGGAGGGAAGAAAGTGTCCAGTGATTGGAGCTGAGGATGAGGCAGGGCAGGATCTGGCGGGAGGGGAGCCAAGCATGGGAACCTGCAATACTTGGCCAGTGCTTCCGGGGCCCAAACACAGCTCTGTTTTTATTTTATTTTGAGACAGAGTCTTGCTCTTGTCACCCGGGCTAGAGTGCAGTGGTGTGATCTCGGCTCACTGCAACCTCCACCTCCCAGGTTCAAGCGATTCTCCTGCCTCAGCCTCCCAAGTAGCTGAGATTACAGGCATGCATCACCACATCTGGCTAATTTTTTGTATTTTTAGTAGAGGTGGGGTTTTCACCATGTTGGCCAGGCTTGTCTGGAACTCCTGACCTCAGGTGATCCACTCACCTCAGGCTCTCAAAGTGCTGGGATTACAGGCGTGAGCCACTGCTCCCAGCAAGCACAGCTATTTTAAGACAAAGGGATTTAGGGCTTAGGTGAGATTTTCTGCCACTGTTTATCTGGATTTCTCAAAATTGGAAGCTAGTTCCCTAGAAATCTGCCAGCCTTTAAACTGTCTTTATTTTAGGTGATATTCCTCTTTAATGCTCCCTTTGAGTTTATCAAAGGTTCCCATTGAAGATGTCCCAGGTCTCAGTGTGCTTGAGAGGAAGCAGGGATTTTAAAGATGCCCATGGGGGCCTGGCCAGAGTTGACAGCAGTCCGCCCCATGCTCTGCTGCAGTTAACCCTTATGGTCCAGGCTGTGCTGATGGATTTCCACAAGGTCTGTCTCACCTTTGGGGGTTCCTTGAAGGGTTCACTGTAAAGGCTGCGTATTCTTCTGCGATCAATGACCTTATTGTCAGCTGCTGTTGGCTTGTTGGCCTCTCCCTTGAACTGGGCACTGTAGCTGGTCTCATGAACCATCTTATCATCTGGGGGCTTGTACTGGGGTTTGGCCTTTATTGGTTTCACAGGCTTGATGTCCGTCCATGCCCTGAATTCATTCCTGTTAATCAAAGAAAGCATATGTGATATGGAACACCATCTGCCTGGAAGCAGTGCTGCTGACACAGGGCTGCAAACACTGCACGCTTTCCATCAGTGCTTGCAGCACTGAGAGTGGCTGGAGGGTTAGTTTCACTGTTTCGTAAGGAAGTGTGCAAGTTTCCCTTCTTGCAAAGTTGACCCAGGTTGGGTTGTGGCAATAGCAGCTGTGCCTTGGAGAAAGCTCAGGCTCTCAGCTCCACACAGTGTGACCACGAGCAGGTAATTCTAATCTTCAGGGCTTTTTCCCAACCTCGTCAATGAGATGGAAAAAACCCAGCCCATTCAATCATTCATGAAGTCAAAAAATATTGAATGCCTCCTATGTGCAAAGCTAAAGAGTTGTGAAATTAAACGAGACAATCCATTAGGCACACTGTCTGATATATTGTGGCATATCAATGAATGCCAATTCCCTTCCCACCGTTTTTATAATGAACAACTTTTGTTGCCCAGATTTCTTGAGGATATTCCCCCATTTGAATCGCAGAGGGCTTGCTTCTAGGACTGCCAGAACGTTAACAATCTTAATCACTTTAGATGAACATCCTCGTGAAACATCTAAACATTTGCAGATCGTACGTAAGCAACACAGACTGAACATAATTTGGAGATCACAGCTGCACCTTGTGTTGGGCTCTGTGTAGGAGCATCTTCCTGTGCTCTTGGCTGTTGGTCCTTAACCTAAATGATCCTCATCTGCTGCTTTTTTGAGTCAGTGTGTCAGTTTTCTTGTTCTCTGCAACCACTCTCATGGTTTCTAATCAGCTGTTTATGACCTGGTATGGGGCTGGAGAGTAGACGGCTGGCAGTGTTTAAAACAGAATTTAAAAATGTAGCTGCTACGGAGGCCGTGAGGGTCCATCCTGTTTGTTAAGTGCATGAGAGTCAATGCACGAGCTCTGTGGCTTCTGGGGTCTTTATTGGGTCTATTCTCCTTTGGGGGCACAAGAAGCTGCATCGTGGGAAAGGAGGAGTTAGGGCATGAATATCTGTGGAGTCAGGCTCTTCCAAGCCCCTCTTTCTCCCTCATGGATAACTCCCTCCTTCAGGGCTCAGTGAGGAGTGCCATGAGCAAGGAGGCCGCAGGAGGCAGGAGAAAGAGCCTGGACTGCGATGGGGACAGCGGCTCTCGCGTTAGCACTGCCTTATGCTAGCAGGCCTTTCCCTGCGCTGAGCATACGTTTCCTCATTTGTAAAATGAAAGAATTAAGCCAAACAAGGTCCTTATAATGTCTTTCTAGCTCTGAGGCTGTCTCAGTTGATAAAGCTGATTTGGTAACTCTGGGCCACTTGCCAGTTATTTGACCTCCTGATCTCTGTATTTCTCTAAGGGAACTGGCTCGTATGTGAAGAGAGATCATTGGCTTTTAAGAGATGCTTCCCTGAGCTTCAGACTCTCCTTTCCAGTGCAGCCTGGGTCCCCGCCAAGGTGCCCCATTGTTGTGGTTCAAATGTTTGTCTCCCGTAAAGCTCATGTTGAAACTTCATCCCCAGTGTGGCAGTATTGAAAGGCGGGGCCTTTAAGAGGTGACTGGATAATGAGGGCTCTGCCCTCATGAATGAATCAATCAATTCCTGGATGAGCGTATTAATAGGTAATTGATTAACGAGCTACTGTTGGAGTGGGACTGGTAGCTTTTATAAGAAGAGATAGAGACCAGAGCTGGCACACATGGCCCCCTCACCATGTGACGCCCTGTGCTGCCTCAGGGCTCTGCAGAATCCCCACCAACAAAAAGGCCCTCACCGGATATGTCTCCTTGGCCTTGGACATTCCTGCCTCTAGAACTGTGAGAAATACATTTTATTTCTTATAAATTACCATGTTTCCAATATTCTGTTATATGCAACAGAAAATGGAAAAAGACACTACCAACAACTCAGACTTAATGTCTCTAGACCTAAATCATCTTGTTTTCTCTGCCAAATTGTTTCCTCCTCTTAGATTCCCTCATCATTCATCTTCACTCATTCATTCATTCATTCACTCATTCATTCACAAAATATGTACTTGGTGCTTATGGTCTGTCTAACAAGATGCTGGGTGCTATGGAACCCAAGCAAGTAGAAAAAGGCCCCGTGGGGACCTGCAGGCAGTGTGGGTGGCTGGACTCACATTTAGTGGGGAAGGGCATAAGAGGATAGAGAGACCATGGAGGCCCTTGCCAGCCATGTTAAGGGGACAGTCTCCACTGTAACAAAAAGTTGCCAAATGACTTCTAGCCAAGGATGAGTGAGGCCAGGTTAGTTTTTGGAAAGAGAATGTTGGCAGCAGTGTTAATGGTGGACAGAAGGAAGGGTGGAGGCAAGAGGCCAGGCAGGAGACTGTGCAGTTAGGAAGAGGGGGAAGCAGGGGGCAGAGAAGAGGGTGCTGGGTCTAGAGGGAGAATGGGCAGGACTTAGAAACTCATGAGTGGTGGGAGGTAAGGTCGGGGACAGTGTGGGGAGACTCCAGGACTCTGGCTGGGGGGGTGGTAGTCCCTCACTGAGAGGTGGAAATTGGGAGGAAATGAAAATGGGCTTTGGGAAGAAGCTGAGGCCCTCCTGATTCTGTTCACAGCACCCCACCCACCCCAGCAACAAGGCTGTTCTTGCATCCCTTCCTAACCCCTCATCCTCACTTCTCCACCTCTTTAGGTTCAATCTCCTTTCTGACCTGACTTCTGAACCATTTCAGCCCTACACACAGACCCAGGGCTAGCCCAGGGGACATTTGGGGCTGTCGCCACCATTACCTGCCAGAGGCCAGAGTCCCTCCCTCCTTCCCTCTATCCTTCAGAGCCAAAGCCTTGCCAGTTAGATGGGCTCCTGGTATTTGGGTCTGGGCCTCCCAGGACCAAATCAGTAACAACCTGGCTCCTGAACATAGGACGGCAGAAACTTGGGTTCTCTGTCACAGCCCTGCCTGCTTCCAGAACCAGCACTGAGATAGGTAGACATGATTCCTCAGCACTGTTTCTGGGTCACCTCTTGCAGGCTATCCTCTGCCACCTCCACCTCCTGTATCTCTGCAGTGGCCCCTGTGGGCTGGGGAGTGTCTCACCTGTGAGCACTATCAATGGGACATGTCTCTGGGAAAGTTTGATAACCCCTGATCTTGAACAACTCTGGCACATCATCTTCACATGAGACCGGATCATGAGTTTCAGAATAGGTTCACTGTAGTTATGACAGATGGTTAGATTTAAGCCCAAATTCCATTTCTTAAAACCTTCTTTGTCAAGGTGTGAAAATGAGCCAAATAATAGAAAATGGAAAAAACAAGAAAAAATAAAAGAGAAAAGAACTTTCTTTGTACTCTCTGTAAAACCTTCTCCAGTCACATGCAACAACTAATATTATGTCATAAAAAGAAAATTAGCTACCATTCGTTAGTTGCCTTTTATAAGCTGGAGGGTTTTGTTTTATTTTGTATATTCTTTATAGCTCTTATAACAACTTTGAGAACAGGTACTATTATGCCCCTTTTATAAGGGAGGTAACCAAGGCTCAGAGAGATAAAGTGGCTTGCATAAGGCAATGCAACTAGCAAATTAGCAAATAGCAGAGTTGGGGGTCTGAGCTCAGGTCAGTCAAGCCCCTCAGGCCACAGCCTTCCTGCTACACTTTGGCAATGTGCCAGAGCTGCAGTGTGCTCCGCCTGCCCTCCCTGGAGGTGCCTGTGCAGGGCCTGGCCTTCTGCCTGCAATGCTGTAGAGTTACATGACACAGACCGGGCTAGATGACACCTGAGCTCCTCCAGCCCTGAGATGCTTGACTGAGAGCAATACGAGCCACACTCTTGCCCCGTCATGCCCATTGCCTCTTGACAGGAGTTCATGGTCCCCTGTTACATGGTCTCCCCTTCTTGTGCAACCATATTTTTTCTTGATCATTCATTCATCCATCCATCCATCCATCCATCCATCCATCCATCCATCCATTCGTCCATTCATTTGGCAACTGCCAAATACTAGCCATGGTCATGGCAAGTGGCCTACACGGATGTGTAAGCCATGGAATGGATGAGGTGTCTAGAGTTCAGGTATCTAGACCTGACCATGTGTGATTCTAAGAAAAGGCAGGATGGATCAAATGGGACAGGGCTCAGAGGGCAAGAAGGAAAGGAATGCTTAACTCTGATAGAGAGTGAGGACTGGGGAAAGCAGTACTGAGGGATGTCGACAGACAAGTGGATGAAGGGAATTCAGGCACCAGTCTGAGTCTGTATGGCAGGTTCAGAGAGCAGGTGAACTGATCAGGGTGGCTACTCAGGGTGCAGGGTGGGGTCTTGGAGGCTGTGCAAAGTGCCCAGACTGGATAAGAGGTAGGGCCAGGCGGCAGAGAGCCTGGATGCCAGGTGTGGAAGCAAGCACTGTGTCTGGGAAGATGCTGAAAGTTTCTGAGCAAGGCAGCACTGTTTCTCCATTGATGGTGCTCTCCTCTTACCAGCTTGCCCTGATTCTAGCTATTCTTTAAGGCCCAGCTCAGGGTTCTTCTCTTCCAGGAACCTCTCCTGGGTTACTCAACCCAAAATTTCCTATCTCTCAGCTCCTGGCCCATTTACTTTGCTGGCCATCCTTGTGGTTACTAGGCAGTTTCATGCCATTCTTCAATTCATTCATTGTGCATTTTGTCTCTCTTAAGGGATAAGATAACATGTACGACAGAATCCTACTCTTGAGTCCAGTCTCATTTGCATGCTGCAAAGGGATATTCTACGTCAGACTGCGGGTTAGGGTTGAGTGGGGCTAGGACTCCAATCCCTGTCTATCCCCCACACCCTAGGCTGCCACCCAGGGCCACACTCCATATCTTCTTTCCATTCTTCACAGGATTTAAGGGCTTAACATTCAGTGGGCAGCTAATGGAAGTAGCTATTGTTAGATTTATTTCTGGTCAGCAGATGCCACTCCTCCTGAGCCCTTCCTTCCCTGCCCTACATGGGGCAGACACTTGCTTCTCGGTGGCATGGGAATG